GAATGTGGGGAAACCACTGATGGAGTCGAGTATGAATCTGAAGCAGCCCCTGAAATACCTTCCTGCTTGATCAGACCATTTTCTGAAAGCGAGCCAACGTGCAGCCCAGCTGAACTTGATGAGATTGATAGAGTTGCCGATGAGTTCGAGTTTAACAGACTCGTGCAACTCGGAGTCATGACCGAAGTAGCTGATAAGCTTGATGGGCATCGCATGCTGACAACGAAGAGTGTCAGAAGTTGGCGGCCAAAAGTGTTGGCCGGGCAGAAGGTTTGGCTGCGAAGGTCCAGACTTGTGGCCAGAGAATATGCACATTTGGACCCCGAGAGGTCAGGATTGTTTTGTCCGACCACAAGCCAGATCATGCTGCGTGTCATCCCGTCTTTGTTCTTGAGGCGTCGAGACGCCGGGTGGTCACTCCTCAGCTTAGATGTTTCTGATGCCTTCCTCCAGTGCGAGCAACAGCATCAAACATTAACCCGCATAGGAAATAAGTGGTTCAAACTTTGGAGGATGGTACAACGACTTCACGAATGAAATGAAAGCTGCCGTTGGTGTCGAATTGCTTCCAGAGAGCCCGGCACTGTTTAGACTCCCGGCGTCAGCCGGAGGAGGCTATGTGCACGTCGATGACATGCTGTGTGGCGGAGTCACCGAGCGTCTGGAGCAGCATCTTGCGAGCAAGTTTAAAATTTCTTCTGAGTGGTTGCGGGAAGTTGGCGACGAAGTCTGCTTCTTGAAGCGCCGCCACTTGCTTGTGAGTCCAGAGCTGCTTGTGATAGAGCCAAATGTTAAGTACATCGACAAATTGCTTGAAGTAACAGGACTCTCCCGCGGCAACCATCGATCCAAAGGAACTCCATTCCCCACGGGGCCATTGCCCACCGAGCAGGCCAGCGACAAGCCACTTGACAGTGCCACTTCAACACGATTTCGTTCAGCAGTCGGGATACTAATGTACATGAGCAGTGATCTAGTCGCCTGTCAGTACGGGATAAGGTATCTGTCAACCTATGCCCATGCACCTACCGAGGGGGCTTGGAAACTGCTCAGACACTTGACGAGCTACATTAGTGTACATCGTTCCCACTGCATCGGGCTCTCCAAGCCCGAGCTCGGCAAAGGCCTCATTCAGGACAAGTCAAGTGCCGAGAACATTTCCCTCCTTGAGGTCCTATCGGACTCTGATTGGAGTGGCTGCAAACGGACGAGAAAGTCGGTTAGCTCCTGCGCCATCCTGTGGGACAACATGTTGCTGTATTCGCACAGCAAAACACAGAAGGTAGTGTCGCTGTCGTCGGCAGAGTCAGAGTACCACTCCCTGATTTCCGCAGCGGCTGATGGGTTGTTCCTGTCTGCTTGCATCCGCTTCCTTATGCCCGAAGTTACGCTTGAGCAAGTGTGTCTTGTTGACAATATGGCCGCACGGGCACTTGCATGTCGACAAGGAGTCGGGAAGCTCAGGCATATATCGGGTAAACTGCTGTGGTTGCAACAGCTCACCAAAGATGAAGTGCTCCATGTTGCGCCAGTCGCAACAGCTGTCAACGCCTCAGACATTGGAACCAAGCCGCTGAAAGCTGACCGGGTGAACCGTCTCCTAGGGATGCTGGGGATCCGAAATTCTGATGATGATTACTCTCTTGTTGGGGAGTCGCAACTGCTTGAACACCGCGAGCGAATGCAGATTTCCAGAATTGTGAAGCAAGGGCCGTTGAGCGCGCAGCAAGTGATCCAAGTTTTGGCCATGCTTCTTCAAGTCGATCGTGTGACAGGTGCAGAGAGTGAGCCCAATACGCAAAACAGTAGTGAGGACGCCTTGGGCCAGAACGGCAATGCGCCTGATGACAATCTTGGATTGCTTGAGCACATTCTTGAATGGGTCATGTACGGGTTTTTCCTTGTGCGCGACTTTGCAATTGAGTATCCCACGACGATGATTTTGGCCTTGCAAATCTGCGTTCTTTGCATGCTGTGTTTTACCTTGTGCCGGCGAGGACGAGTTCATCAATTGCGCCAGCAGGCCGATGACCAGCCGAGCACAGTGCCTACGGTTGCTGTGCATGTTAAGGTTGAAGGTTCTACCGTAACGATTGGTAATCCCGAACCTGCCGAAACCCCTAGCAACCCGGTTGGTAGTTTGCAAGCCAATGCGAGTGCGAGCAGCAGTGCAGCAGCCAGCAGCGCAGCAGCGCATGCCGATGATCATGATGTTCGAAGCTTCCGTGCAGTACCTGTTGCCAGTCCAGCGCCAGAACCAGCGGCGCGACCGACAGCAAATCATGCTGTTTGGGTGACCAAGGCCAAGGGGAGATCGTTCCATCAGAAAAGGTCTTGTGGTACGCTTGGAAATGCCAAGAGTCTTGAGCAGATCACGAAGTCAGAAGCCATCCGCCGAGGCTTGAAGCCATGCAAAGTGTGCTATGGCCACTGAGACTTGAATAATGCTCATGATGCAACTGATTGATGAGTCACCCGCTGCACAGCGGCTGATTCATCTCTTGGTTCTTGTACAAAGGCTGCTGTGGCGAAGCTGTACATAGGCTGCGAACTTGGAGACATCCACATGGAACCATGTGTGATACCAGCATTTTGCTGGCAATCTTGAAATCATTTACCAACCGCCTTAAAAGCCGTGGAGCGGCTAGTCCACCGGAGTTGGCTGTGATAGCCACTCGATGCTACTAGGCATCATAATCTTGACTTTGGACATTCTTCAGGAAGTCATTCTGACGAGCCAAAGCAACGAGATGTTGCATTTGCATGTGTGTATGTGCGTCTTCAAATCTTGATGCGATCGCTGATGCGACAAGCTTGATCCTTGAATGCGTGCAATTCCTTCGTCGGCGGTCCACGCCTTCTTGAAGGAATGTAACCTAGTCCGTAGCTGTACAGTGCTGCGTAGTTGTGAGCCAATGACCTTTACGGCAGTGCTCCTTGAAAGACGTCAAACCTTTTACCACGAGTGCAATCCTGAACTAAGTGTATTTTGGAGAGTCTGTAGGCGGGGTGTTTACGATTTCTCCATCTTGCATACTGTATTTGTGATCATTGTTTTATCCTCTTGTGCACTCATTTTCACGTGAGCATGCGAATGACATGTCAACTTACCGCAGGCGTTCTTTCGAAGTGACAAAAGATTTTCATGACTGGAGATCACGTACGAGTAGAAGTACGCTGTGACAGTTCATCGGCTCGTCAGTGGAGCCAACGGCGAGGAGTTGGACGTCTGAAGCATGTGGATGTTCGACTGTGTCAACTGCAAGATTGGGTCAGAGAAAACATCATAAGTATTGGAACCGTGAAGACAGTATTGAATCTTGCTGATCTGAACACGAAGAAGTTGACATACGCCAGAAGAGCATTCCTCATGTATTTCCTATCACAGGTAGAGTACTCCGAAGGAGGAGAAATTACTCACACTGGAGTGGATGAGTATGAAAGGCACGAACAGGAAAAGAAGCTGAAGGAGTATGTGAGCAGCAATCAGGTGAAAGACCTCATTAGGTTGATTCAGGTATTCAGCGTGATCAAACCAGCAACCGCAGTTTGGATCGAAGGAGAAGATGTTAGTACCCAGAAATCCGCAAGTATCGACGCCATGGAGGAAGCGAAGTACTCGAAGTTCGAAGTGGCTATGCTTGTCACGTTAGTACTGCTTCTATGCCCGTATGCCTGGTATGTGGCAAAGCGAATCCACCATGTATGGAGCAGACTGTCAGTGATGGGAAAAGTAAAGATTCACTCCCGAAGCCGCAACCGCGTATTTCACAAAGAAAGTTGTCGGTATGTCCAAGGGGAGCCAAGGAATGGACGCTTCCGATACCTGGATCGCGAAGTTGCTTTGGAGCAAGGATATAGACCATGTTTTGTATGCTTCCCAGAATCAAAGAGAACCTGGAAACAAGGAAGCTTGGAAGAAGTGGATGATGGAGAATGGGAATTGACCGAATCTGAAAGTACGACAAGTGGGAGTTGTACTCAAGTATGCTCATGGTGTCAGGAACGAGCGTGCACGAGGAATAAGCCCGGACACCAGAACTGTGCATGCAGCGAATGCATCAGAGAGTATGCCGAAGTCCAATGGAGGAAGAACTACGACCAGAGCCCATCCGGCCAAGAAGACCACAGCTGGAACGAGAGTGGTATGCGAAAGAGGAACACCCCAGGAGAAAGTACGCCGCAAACTGGAACACTGGAGAATATGCCACCAAAGCTATGTGGAAAGGAAATCGACGAGTGGGGGCCCGAGCGGGAACACAGAAGAGGACAGAACCCTCGATTCCCGAGAGTACGTATGAAGACACCGTATCTGAAGGAGAAGTTTCACTTGAAGAGATGGGACGACGAGTGATCCCAGCAGCGATCACGGAACAGTATTACCGTGAGACTGGAGTGGAGCCAGGTACACCTGACTCGACAGAAGAGCGTACGGAAGGACCACCCGCATTCTAGAAAGGATGTATAGAATCCTGTAAGACCTACCTCGAGAAGACCATGGGAAAGGAGAAGTGAGTGTAGGCAGAAGTTTCACCCAGCAAACGTAGACGTTACGCGTGAAGCGAAAGGAAAACCCCTGCGTGAGCAGCCAAACGAAATGTGGTTGCCAAGACAGGAATAGTGCGAGGTATGTGTTACTGTACTTGATGTCTGTGACAAGGCCTTTTGGACAAATCCCTTAATTGGGGGATTGGAACAAGGCGGGTATTGCATCAATTGTTTAATCCGTCTGCACTGGCAAAGCCTGCAACGGATGGGAGATGCCCGCGAAGGCCTGAGTGCTTTTGGGAAGTACAGCACAAATACCTCGAGGCAGGGCGTAAAGGCTATTCCCACACCTTTGTTGGAGCCNNTGAAACACATGGCTACGACGCAGCGCATTTTGGTTCAACGAGAGAAAAGCGTGACCGCTTAGAGTTGTACTGTTCAACAAAAGAGTAATGCCACCCGAGTTGAGTTGATCAGGGAGATCTTACCATGTGGTGTATGCCGCGCAGTCGCGAATGCAAATTCCTCAGTTTACCTCTCCAAGTATGGCGACAAGTATCATTCTATGGATTGCAAGCATGTGCAGCAGAAGAATTCCCATATCCATGGTTTGACTCCTTGCTCGGAGTGCTGGTCTGGTCCTCGCTTTCTTGAGTGAGCTTGGGATGTGGGGATGAGATTGGTACTTTGGTTTTTATAGTACTATATCTCTGGCTGCCGGTCTGGTATCATGATTTCAACGAGTGGTATTTGACAAACTGCTGGAGAGATGATCTTCAAACCATCCCGAAAGGGGGTGTGGAAATTTGGTACCTCGTTTACCTCGTTTTACTGCTGCGGGATGATTTGGTCTGTAACTGCAATGCCGTAAGAGCTTGCTTGGTATTATGGATCCATGAACATCTGCGTCAACTTTGTTTTGGAGCAGCAGTGCGTTTTTAGTACGGCTTCACCTGCGGAATGGCCAGACCATTCCTTGTTGAAGCGCTTGAGCTTTTACCAGAACGTTTGAGTGAGAGCTTGCTGAGCTTTGAAGCCGCTAGCTTGGAAGTGCTGTGGAACAACACGTTTTGCATGTCATGGTGCACCACGACAGTTTTCTACAAGAGCTGTTTTGTTTCTGGAAGACAGAGCTGTAGCTTGAACAAGCTGCTTTTGGCTGTTGTCGTGAAGAAGCAAATGCACAAGTGCATTTGCCAGTGAGAACAGAAGCTTCAAGAAGAAGCTACTTCTGAAAACCGTTTGGCTCAAGGAGCTAAGCGGTGAAGCCAAGTTACGGAGCCAAGTTTGTGAAGACGTTTCGTTTCTCTTGGTGCGAGTGCCAAAAGTGACAGTCACGTCAGTCTGCTTGCTTCGGAAGGGTTAGTAAGTTTTACAAAATCGTCTAAGTGCGATCGCATATCAGCCGAAGTTTTCCGCTTTGTGAAGAAAAGGAAAAGGTGGCTTGATGGCTTCCACTTTCCTTTGTCAGAAGGCAGTGTTGACCAGGCGTCGGCGTGGAACAACCCGGCACTCAGACGGATGGTTCCACAGTGGATAAAACGAGACCGATTGATGACTGAGAGCCTCCGGACAACACGTCTGTTAGGCCTACTCAGACCTACTCTGGGCGACCTGTGGGAAAGGACGCTGAGTGTGAAAAAGTCAAGTCAATCTCACAAATGCAAGCACGGAAACGATGTCTCCTCACGGGATCGACGTGATGTCGTCGCAGGCATTTGCAAGCGAGTGATTGCAAGGCTTGCCACTTCTCAGCCTGAAAATTTGATTGCTTGTACGATTGATCTTCGCAAAGTCTGTAAGGAATTGCCAGTATCGGAGAAATCCCTGAACGACTGCTTCTTGTGTGTGCACGACCCAAGAACGAGTTCTCCTGCCTTTTCCGGGCCCGTGCTGCAGTTAATGGTTTTTGCCGATGCTCCTTAGCTCTGTTTTGGGTAGGAGCGGCATTGCTTCACCTTCATTGGAGTTGCTTCTTCGATGACTTTTTCCCTGGTGGGAGCTGCCGAAGAAGCGAAGCATTTGCACGTCATCCAAAAGGGATTTTTCGATCTCCTCGGAAGGGCAACCTTATCCGAGAAAGAGTCGGGCTTCGGGGAGCTCACCAGGGTTCTGGACGGTGTGCCTCTCGTTTGCTGAGATTCGTTTAGGATGGGTTGTAGTCATGAACACTGAACATAGGAAGCGTGACCTGTGCAACCTTCTTGACAATCTCATCTCGAAAGGTTCTGCTCCTTGCCATGAACTGACCGTGATCAGAGGCCGCCTGCTGTTTGCGGATAACCAATACGGCAGGCGATCCAGGCAAGTCTTCAGCGTCTTATCCAAAGCATGCTCCAGAAAGAAATGCGTTTCCATTCGAGGCGAGCTGCTGCATGCTCTACTGAACTGTTCTTTCAAGATAGGAGGATTGTCGGAGGCGGCCCTCGGCGTGTCAGTGCCTGCAGCAGGGAGAAGCTGACAATCTTTACTGATGGTTCAGCGAGTGGATTGATCCTTGTGACTTGTCCCTTTCGGGTCTAACTTGAAAGACGGGTTAATTTACGAACTCGAGGTCTCCGCTGCGGTCCAAGGGGCCATGGACCTTTTGAAAGGCAGGTCACATGTGGATGTGGTCCTGTTTACCGATAATGAAGCCGCGCTGGCTTGCCTAATCGGTGGACGTGCCGAAGGAATGGCTGCCTGCTGCCTGCATCATTCAAAAGCTTATCTGCTGTGAAGAAGAAAATGATGTATGCTTCTGGTTCGAGTGGGTGCCCACGCAGAGCTCGGATGCTCCTTCAAGGAAAGATTTCAACAATCTCGATACCTCACTTCGCTTAGGCTTAGGCTCTCTGCGCTGAGCCCTTGATCTCTCTGGCCCTTTTCTGTGCGTGGGGTGTGGAGGGCCAGATCTGTTCGGTTTTCCAAGGACGATCTGTGCTTCTTCTTACAACCAAGATTTCT